CTAGTGCTGGTGTCTAGGGCAAAGTCCAACACCTCCTTTACCATCATGTGCTAAAACTCTCACGGAGGTAGACCTTGTGTCCTGTGTTACAGGACTTTCCGCTCAGTGTTTGCCGTTCGGGCTCTTCCTTGCTCGTAACAAGAATATTTCCGATTCGACATTGTATAATCTTCACCTTTTTATCAGTAGAACATGAAAAAATTGTCTGCATGAATTAAGATGATTTTCGCACAAATTAGCACTCGACACATAAAGAGGAAGATTTCTTTCATCCAATACCTGCATGTTTAAATTATTATTGATTTGTGTTAAATATTATCATATTATGTGATGATTGTGTTGTATCTGCTTTATTTGTGTGTTTTGAGAATAACATGGAATCCAATGGATGAAACAGGATCACATGGCATTTATTTGGTATTCTGATCTTTTATTCATCGCATATTATGTAGTGATTGAGAAGACAACAAATCGTAACATCATAAACACTTTAGTTTAAAGTAAGCATTTTTATAGGAAGTAAAATTATTCATTTGATTTGTTTAGTTTCTCTATTAGCCCAGTCAATAAATGTTTTTTATCGCAACTAAATGGTGGAAAGCTGGATTTTTTATATGTGATAGAACCACATGAGAGGTGTATTTTCCCAGAAGTCCCCACTTCTACTCCTTGAGCTTTCCCCCCCACCCCCCTCCAAACATAGAAATTGCAGTGATTTACTTAATTGATCATAATTCGAATGTTATGTAAGCTATCGATCTGCAATTTGTTTTGTTTTATTTCTGATTAGTTTTCCTACAACTTTTGTATTTACAACATTTTTCTAAAACCAATACTTAGGGAGATATAAAATTTAAACTTCATTAAAAGCTTTGTTTCAGAGTGCAAAGTCTTGTTTTTCTCTATGTATACTTTTAAATATAAATAATACGCAAATATGGTTCAAACAAAAGTTTTAGTACGTTTTTCAAGGTTTACAAATATATTATTGGTTAGTCATCTAGGTGACCGGGTGAAGAGCTGAGCGTCGGCAAAGTGAGCGCGTGCGCGCTAGTTGAACACCTCTGCGCTGCGTCATTGCATCTAGCCCAGCCAATAAACGCACCAACTGCCTTTTTTCGTCGCTAAATAGTGGAAAGCTGAGTTTGTTATATGTGATAGAACCACTTAAGACGTGTATTTTGCAAAAAGTTCCTGAATCTGGAAATATCAGTTGTTAACTTTACTGGATATAATTCAAATTCTACGCATGCCATGTAGTGAAATTTGGTTTAGTATTATTTATAATTAGTTTATCTACAACTGTTGTACTAAAGATTTTCATATAAAAGTAAATCCAAAGAGATATAACGTTTAAAATTTTTTTATATAATGTTTATGTTTATTAGTTCACAATTTTGTTTTACCCTCTATATATTTTTTCCAAATAAAATACGCAAAATGTTACAAACAAAAATTTTAGTATGTTTCTTAAGGTTTATAAATATATATTTGATTAGTCATCAGCATCCGCGCAGCCCCGTCCGTCGATACATAGCCTAATAAGGACCGGCACCACTAAGTTCTCAACTGTTTTATATAAATCCTAAGACTTCCTAATTCGTAGCCTACATTACTACCAAAACAATCTGTTTCCAAGCTAAACCGTGAATAAATGAATCACCTCACGGTCAGTAAAAATTGTTCGTCGACTTACTAATCCTTGATACAAACTGCGTCCTATCGTTAAAATGTCCCTCTCTTCACGCTTCCCGCTAGCAAATAAAAAATGGCTGCTCGCTCTGCCATGAGTTGTAAGCCTGTGTTAAAATAATATCACGAACAACGTAGAAAACTGTCGGTAGTATTTATAAGCCATTTTTAATCATGGTAAGGAAAACAAATTAAAACCAGTCCGTTAAAACTAACTTTTGTATTAAGTCTATATAGAGGAGATTTTAAAACACTTAATAAGCGCCTTCTTCTTTATTAGCGATGTTAAACGTTTGCATAATGTCTACCAAAAACCAATAAAGAACTATTATACTGACTAATTTTTTAGATAACATGAAAACAATAAAATATTAGAGAACAGAACCTCACCAAGATTCACAGTATAGAGTCTCTAAAAATGATTGATCTGGACCACGTATTAGTGCCGTAAAGCAGATTCGTAACACATTGCTGCCAATTTTTACGAAAAAAACCTCAATATGATTGACACATCTACACAATATGTTAAGAAATTTGAATAATCTGCCTGTATGTATCCCGTAAATAGTCTTGCCTGGGGACACAAATAGCTTTTAACTTACTTATTTATAAATTTTGGATATATGCCTTATTACATTAATTAATTGGAAAGTAAATAAAAGAAAATACGTCTAATAGTATAACATTTAAAACATAAATTTACACTTATAATGTTACTGTCAATACTGTAAATATACATAAAAGATGGTAAGTGGTCGTCGATATCGATTCGACACTCCAATCATCCTCAGACCCATAGGCGAATTGGATCATCTCATCATTGGGTTCAGTATGTTTCTTACCCAGCTTTATGTAATGTAATATATGTATCCATGTTTATAATTGTCAATAGGTGTAGCCATTGACAGAAATAATTAAATAAATTATTATTTTAAATGATAAACTAGTTAAAACCAACAATAAATTTAAGAAATGTACAAATGATTAGGTTTCATCTAATTAGTATTTTTTTCAGTTTACTATTTAGATCTTTACTGACCGCGAGGCGCAGTTAGTATAAATCTTGCGGGTAACAAATCGAGTCCCATTGGTGGTAGATAATGGAAAGCACATTGTAACGTAAGGAAGAGCAAAGAGTATGGTGCACGTGCTTTATAGTGCTTTTTAAAGTGTTTACTAGGCCTAGTGTTCTATACCTCAATCTATAAAACTTTCGTTGGTAAAAGATGAAGAAATCAAGTATTAAAAGTATTGCAAGTATAACAAGTAAGTAGGTAGAGATTAATTTACCTGAACCAAAACTGGTTATTAAAAAATTATTGGGTTCCATCTAAATAATAATTGTTTTTACTGTTAACGGTTAAGCTTGGATACAGATTGTTTTGGTAGTAAACTAAAAAGTACAAGGCCATAGCATTTGTATAAAACCTTTGAGAACTTAGCGATGTCGGTGCCTATACGCGACGCATCGACGGGCGGTGCTGCGCTGCGCGGAAGCCTGCACCCGGTGTCTTTGCCGACAATGCCGACGCCCCACACTACATCAGTTTTTTCAGATGACTAATCAAATATATATTTATAAACCTTAAGAAACATACTAAAGCTTTTGTTTGAAACATTTCGCGTATTTTATTTGGGAAAAAATATATAGAGGGTAAAACGAAATTGTGTACTCTTAAACATAAACATTGTAAAAAAAGTTTAAATGTTATATCTCTGTGGATATAGTTTTATAAGAAAATCTTTAGTACAACAGTTGTAGATAAACTAATTATAAAAAATACAAACCAAATTTCACTACGATGGCATGCGTAGAATTTGAATTATATCCAGTAAAGTTAACAACTGATATTTCCAGGTTTGGAGGGGGTTGGAGGGGGTGGGGGGGAGATTCAGGAACTTTTTGCAAAATACACGTCTTAAGTGGTTCTATCACATATAACAAACTCAGCTTTCCACTATTTAGCGACGAAAAAAGGCAGTTGGTGCGTTTATTGGCTGGGCTAGATGCAATGACGCAGCGCAGAGGTGTTCAACTAGCGCGCACGCGCTCACTTTGCCGACGCTCAGCTCTTCACCCGGTCACCTAGATGACTAACCAATAATATATTTGTAAACCTTGAAAAACGTACTAAAACTTTTGTTTGAACCATATTTGCGTATTATTTATATTTAAAAGTATACATAGAGAAAAACAAGATTTTGCACTCTGAAACAAAGCTTTTAACGGAGTTTAAATTTTATATCTCCCTAAGTATTGGTTTTAGAAAAATGTTATAAATACAAAAGTTGTAGGAAAACTAATCAGAAATAAAACGAAACAAATTGCAGCTCGATAGCTTACATAACATTCGAATTATGATCAATTAAGTAAATAACTGCAATTTCTATGTTTGGAGGGGGGTGGGGGGAAAGCTCAAGGGGTAGAAGTGGGGACTTTTGGGAAAATACACCTCTCATGTGGTTCTATCACATATAAAAAATCCAGCTTTCCACCATTTAGTTGCGAAAAAGGCTGTTTTATTGCATTCATTGACTGGGCTATATGTATATCTGAAATTATTAATAACCATTGAAATGTTCTGACTTTGTTGTATAAGATGTGAATGAAACATCTATAACGTATACCGTCATATGGTTTCACTCTGTGTACAAAGCTAGTAATATAATTGACTATCTTGTAACAATAGTAAAAAAGGTTTTATGGCTTTGTTTGCTTGGAGCTTAAAATTGTTTATAAATTACATTTACTTTTAATCTTTTGGCTATGCATAACTTACACACTGAAGATAAATATTTGAAGACTTATTGACTTAATGTAATGTAGATGATAATTCTAATAACATATAAAAACTATCGACAATTAATTATTCTTCATTCTAATACAAAGGAAGTATAAAAGATAGTAAAAGATTATACGTTTACAATCTCAATTATCATTAGGTAGATCTGATCATTGAATATTGGATAGTGAAGTAGACGTCCAATCTATATGGACCATCTGCTATAGATCACAATATGTCATTCCATTAGTTTGAATTATTGGTAAAAAAGATTGTGTATTCAACAGAAATCAGTAATTTAGATCAGCACAATCTGTTAGTAGCTCACATCAACTAGGCCTACAACGATTTTGGTTAAAAAAAAACTCTGGCTACAAATTTAACATGGGGATGATATGTCTAAATGATCTGATTCAAAATGTCATAAAATCAAAGACTTTAATTTCAATTACTAGATTCTCATACCTAACTTTACCAATGTTGCAAGTCTAACCATCTAAATGCAATTTTCTTTTGCAGAGTCATTCAGGAAGTCTCCAGCATTCATCGCTACACATTCCTGACTCAGTCTCTATTCACGATATTTCACTCTTGCTTTCTGGCATTCAACATGTATTACGTATGCATTAATCATTATTATTTTATCATAAGCATAAATATTTATAAACACAAACAAGGAAAAGTTTCCAAATTTTTACTCTCTATGTATATTCAAAATGATAATATTGAGGAAAATTTTACGTATCACATCACCACTTACTGCTGGATTTTTTAGTGGTTATCAGGAAGTCACTGGTTCGATCCGGAGAAAAACAATAAGCTTTACGATCTGGGCAGGCTCTAGAGCCCTGGGTCGTTTTCACATTACTTCAGGCTAGACCTAGGCGTTGTGGCATTATCATTTAGATAAACTCCATAGGTGATCTGGCGGGTATTTTAATACAGGAACTCAGGGACCGAAGTCCCGGGCTCTACCACTGGATCAGCTCGCTCCCCGATTTACTGAGTATGAGTCTTGAATGAATGAGTGATGCCTTAAAAATGAACTGCTGCATTGTGTGTGAAATATCGGCAACTATTTAATATCCTCGTCTGCATTAACCCAGCCGTCGCCCAAAGACCAGGACCTTCCAGCTTTAGGAATCCGTGGAAGTCTATCACAATTAAAGGATTATCTCAAGTTTACCAAAAGGGGTTTTATGTGATTTTTTAAAACAAGTTTTATGGAAATTGTTGAGTATGTAGAAACGGACTCGATTTCTATTTTAATTTAGCTGTGGTACTCAATACGTTTAAAAATCTTTCATAGTCTCATATTATTTTATTGAATACGTTTATTCTTGTATAAACAGTTGTGTTTCACAGGTGGTAACAACATTTAGTTGCAATTTCTATTTTTTTATTTTCTTAAGTTGAAATAAAATCTTTTTTTCCAGACGGAACGTTTATACAAGGTGATAGCCAAATCCAGCCCACTTCTGTTTCTCTCGTACTATTTGCTATTCATTTACTGCTTGAGCGGACAAAGACTCACAGACACGGTAAATGTTACATGTAAATGAAAAGAAATTTCATACTGCTAGATCACCCCTATTTTTATACATCAATTGCCACAAAAAAGAATCTTTCCTTTGTAAAATTAACTATGGTTTTTATTTCCAGTGTGAAAAGCTGTTCTACGGACTCTGTCAGTGCAAGTGGTACAACTGTCCTCGTAGTTTCAAGATGTCTCTCTTGACAATGATACAGTTTTGCAGCCGACCTGTTAATCTCACCGGGGGAGGGATTTTTACCGCTTCGTTTGAAACATTTATGCATGTGAGGTTTTACTTAGTTAAGGTTGACTTGTTCAAAGGTTTATTGCGGAAATTTTCCATCACGACGTTAACTTCGCCATCACCAACAATGAACATCAAACAAAGGTCGACTATTTCATTTTTTTATTTTGGTGAATTATAAATAAATTGTAAAAATGTAGAATGTTGGAGAAACTATAGATCTTTACAAAACAGACTCAAATCGTTATGAAATAACTCTGTGACTTTTCTATGTTTACCTTTGCATATTGTAGGTTGAAAATCTTAAGTTTATAAAATTTGCACATTGCACTTCCATTGAAGATTGCTCTTTTGCTTTTTATGCATTGAGGTTTGATGTCTTGTAATTCGATAGTGATAGTATTTTATTTTTATGAATTGTTTTTAATTGAAAGATAGATTGAAATGTGACTGTGATAAATGTAATTTATAATAATAATGTAATGTTTTAATTGAAGAGGTCTGTTTGTAATCAATGTATGTACTTGATTACTTGAATGGAGGTGTGTATTTCTAAAATGTGTTTTAGTCATAATAATATTCTTATAATTGTTTTTTTTTTTTTTTTTTTGTTACAGGGTTTGCAGCAGTCAGTATCTTATATTTTACTTCTGAAGCAATTAACACCAGAGAAATAGATACCTGGATTTATCAGTCTATTAATATGGTGGGATTTTTAAAGTAATAAAGTGAGGATATATGGAAATTCGTCTTTAAATACACACATATTAAAATATATATTTAATTCTCAATTTCAATCAGGTTTCTTAATGGCCTCTGGAATTATTGCATTGAACACAATTTCAGAGCTAAATTTGAATTCAAATAAACAAATTGTCTGGTACAGAACTCGCCTTCAAATATAAAAGGTAGCTTATGGTTCGATTCCAAGCTAGATAAATTCTTGGCCAAAAGATGTCATTAATAATAGCCCAATGATCAATTATTTATCATTGGGCTATCCATTAAATCATAATATCTAGCAAAAGGTTGGTTATGTTTGTTTCACATAAATCTTATAATAACTTATACGGATGAATATTACCTAGATAGTTAACATCTTATAGATGGATATTCAGACTGTATAGTTTAATAGATTACTTGTCAAGAAAATCGATGTAATGTGATGGTTGTGAATAAAACAAAAACAAATAAATTATTTATTTATACCCTATACTACCTCTATCACATATAAGCTCTTGAAACACAATATTATTTCATTTCACTCGGGCCAAATGAAAATTGTGAATTAGAAGGATAGATCTCTGTATATTTTAGCCGTAATAATTTCCTATACTTTAAACCGGTAGACTGAAACCGCAAACCGAAAACTGGGTTTGCCGGATAAAATCATGGAGCTATAAAATATACAACCATCAACTAACCAACACAAGTAGACTTCCCATCCCGTTGTAAATTTTGAAGCTCGTTTTTGTGTCTAGTTCATGTCCGGTGACACTGGTGGCTAGTGTCGACGAAATTTTGTTTCTATTATTTTAGAGTTAACTAGCTGTAACCCGCGGGCTTTGCCCCGTTTAACTTCTTAATTTTCAAGATGATATCGTTCGCATGGCTCAATCACGTCCTGGTTGAAGTTCGTTCGCTACGCTCACTCACCTTTAGGTTGGAGCTCGTTCGCTACGCTCACTCACCTTTTGGTTGCAAATTAGCTGTTGTCGTAAATGTAAAAGAAATAATAGTGCTGCATCCTGTTGGTAATCCTTGTAACTTTAATGCTATTGAACATCATAGAACAGAACCAACTTGTTTAGTTGAAACAGCTGTTAAGATTCATTAATTCAATTTCTCATAAGGTTAACATGGGAAACTCCAGAGCCACTGGGGCGGAGCCGATTGGACGGATCACGAAATTGATGGTGTATAAACCTATTCCATGAAATTCTACACGTATGTACTAAGTTTCGTGGCAATCGGTTCAGCGGTGTCTGAGTTTATCACTACTGCCAAACAAATATATATATATATATGCAAACATCCTCTTTTATACTTATAGATTTCATGATTTGTGCTTTACTGTTTGGTTATATAACTACATTGGCTTCATCTGTTCCATAAGGATGAGAAATATACTAAGGTAAGGGCACGGCTGCCTTTAACTTTAAGGGAGTATTGTTTTTTCTTTGGTACAACTAACTGGTTGGTGGAAGGGAAAACATAGGTGTGCTATCTTCCTTCCACCATGACTAAAGCCGGGTTTACACTATGTAGCAAAACCTGCTATATAGCAGATTTGTGTAACATCTAGCAATGTTATATATATAACATTTGCTAGAAGTAGAAAAAGTCACTTTTCAAAAGTGCTATATAACACTGCTATATGTAGCAGATTCTGCTATATATAGCAAAAATTGTGCTATCCATCGGGAGTCGGTAAAGATCAAAAGAAATGCGTGCTATATCTAACATTGCTATATGTAGCAATGTTATACAAATATTTTTCGTTTAGCATCTGCTATATGTAGCATTTAGTGTCAACAGTTCACAAAAGTTCACAGTTAGTTGTAGCCTCCTGTGTACGGACATTTTTGCTCGGAGATCTTTGATTAATGGAAGGACTGTAAAGCACCAGGGCGTGGGATCGGGATGCTATTATAAACTTTAATTGAACTGTTCCGTGGACAACCGGCGTTGTGGTCATACGTAAAACGTTTTTGAATCTACCACCGCCTTATTTCGCGTTTTAATTATGGATCGCTTCCGCTTCTGACTTCCGATCACCGTGATAGCTGCTTTGAACAATGTCTCTTCGGCTCGACATTTTCGATACAGAATGTAAATGAGGTTGTGCTACATATAACATATAGCACGGGCACCGGAATCACAAAATTGTCTGTAACTTTTTTGTATAGTAAAAGTTATATAGCAATGTTATATAGCAAAAGTTATATAACAATGTTATATAGCAAAAGTTATATAGCAGTTTTTGCTACATAGTGTAAACCCGGCTTAACTGGACTGGAGGTATCTCTGAATGAGAGATTAAAGTTTTAGAGACATTGGATGCCATGTACTAGAGGTAGGGGGTAGGGGAATAGAGGATTGTGGGTTTGTAATAAAGCCATTAGCTAATGAGCTGGTTGATTCCCCTAGCTGGCACCAACATAACATAATTTTTACATGTCGACATGTCGATTGTCTAGCAGAGCTGCCATACCGTTACTTCCGATTGTTTCTCTAGCACAGAGTGGGTAAAATATCTTTTGTCCTATTGGCAACGAGAGGGAAGCGCCCAGCGGAACAGAGGAATGAGGTCAAGGCTAGGGTCAAGGATCGATCGAGGTCGAGAAACAGGAAGGAAAGGACAGAAAAGAATCAGAAACTTTTTTTATTGCCGTAATTTGCAAGGTAGGTACCTACATGCAAAAATGCATATGACAAAGTCAACAATGAGGTTCAAGAATGGTTCAAGTTTAACCAAGAAAATAAAACTAGTTAAAACATAAAATAAATCAAAGTAACCAACAGCTTACTTCTCTGTGGCAATATGAGTTGAGGGGAATCGGAATAGAGGATTTCTCATTCTTGAGCAAGCACAAGCCGATTAAAGGATTGGATTGAAGCATTCTGTTTTCTATTCTGTTCTGTAGTTTTATGTCTCCTGCTCTCAGCTGCAGCTCTGCAGTCTGCACTGCATTGCCAATGGTGCGGCACACGGGAGATTTTACAGGTGCCATTATGACGTCATAATTAGTGCAGAAGTATTTTAGTTTATTTGACAAGGCTAAAGCTGGTTGAAATTGGCTAATTGCTAATTGACTTATGACTTAAAGGTGGCCATGGCTAGTGTCACCTGTCTGCCATGTTATCTTATGGAACGTCTGACGCTAAACAACCCTACTTGCGACGTTGCCAATTCTACCAGTCCGCAGCCTGGAGGCCTGGAGTTATAGGTGGCTGTGGCTTATTCAGTTTTACCGAATTTCTCGTAATTTTGTAAACATGAATTAATTGCTGTCATAATATCAAATTAGATTCTAAATAAATAAATAATCCTCCCTGCAAGTTAAAAAAGGCGTCACGAAATATCTGCATCCTCCTCATTGAAGTATGCATATAATTAAAAATGTTTTAGTTACATCTTAACCGTGGGGTCCCAGTTTATCGACATCCCAAAAGATCGACACTGAAATAGTCCCACTATGTCGACAACTCAAAATGTCGACAGTGTCGGTAATATGGAATGTCTGTAAAGTGGGATGTCGGTTATGTGGGATGTCTGTTATGTGGGACGGTTGTGTAAATTTTCCCACTTTATCGACACGCAAAATGTCGACAAGCAAAACAGATCGACAAAGAGCGGGAGATTCAAATTGAAGGTGAACAGCTCTTGCTGAACAGATCGGTTGAGTATAATGAGAGTCGTTCTTTTTTTTAACTCCGAACGACTTCTATTCACGGCGCTTGCAGCTTGCAGTCTCCTTCAAATTTGTCAATGCTATCTCAACTATCTTGTGTATATAATATGTGTTCTGCCGTTTGAAGGCTTAAAATAATTTGACATTTATTTGTCGCACTTGTATTATGATTTATTAACTGTTTATGATTTGTGTTATGATTTGTTAATTTTTTCGTGTAAGAAGGTAGTTAAAACTTGCTACCTTGGCCAAACTTTGCTAGAGGATGATTATGGTATCCATCAAAGTTTTTTCAATCATACTGTACTGTATATGTTTATATAATGACATAGTAGGGGTGTACATAGTTTTTTCATTTAACTTGCTAGCTTAATGTTAAAACAGATTAATCCAAATAACAAATTTACGTTGTTCATTGTTACACTTTGAAATATTAAATGAGTTGTAGTACATTTGTATCAGCAACTTACACCGGAAATGAGGAAATTAAAAAACTGCGTTAATTTGCCTAAACAAACTGCAGATGCTTTGATTCTTTTGTTAACCTTTCCATTGCCAATATGGCGATCCATAAAAAGCAATGACAACATAAAATTTTGCAATAATTTCTTTCCAAACTATTTTGTAGAGCTTAATAACAAATTATTTAGTATATTGAAGCATTATTATGCGCCTAATGGTTACGGAGAAAACTCAAACCGTTTTAAATTTAAAATCCCAATGATATTCTTATGGAGAATAAGTAAACTGTTTTAGTTAGCTTGTTTATGAACATCTTTTGATCAAAATTTGAAAATGCATTTATTTCATACTAAACTACCTACATGTAATAATATTAAAAAAAACCTTTAAAACCCTCCCTGTTACAACATACCTAAGTACTTGTTAAACTAATGCTATATTGAAATAGGGAATAATATTGTGATATTTTAAGGAGATAGTGTAAATCCAATCAAGCAAATGGAAATTCGTTTAGTCTGGAGGTTTGCTGCGGGGGGTATTTAAAATAAATCATAGAGTTGTTACAGTGTTTACAAACACACATCAGAACCACCTGTAAACTGTAATGGCTGCTTAAGAAACTTAAACACCTTATCTAAATGCAGTAGGTATAAAAAAATAGTATATGCCTACTGTATTAGGTTACTAGCCAGGTAAGCGGCAAGGTGTTTTATAGAAGGCGTAGCCGAGTACGGGATTTTCGTGCGACACAATTTATTTAGGACACAACATAAATTAGATTTTTTTTCTGAAAATAAAATAGGCCGCTGAAATTAGCTGTTTATTTCAACAGCTGACTAAGTACACTGTAATAGTATATTACGTTACT